CCCTTCTCCCTTCTCCCTTCTCCCTTCTCCCTTCCTAATCACTTATCTTTCCCATAATGCAGCCCCCTGACCTACTGTATAATTTTCAATGTATAGAAGCATTTCCATACCTCTGATCACTTTTATTGTTCATCTCTGTCCTTTCTTTTTTGCAGTTATAGGATGCTTTTTGGATCGAAGAAACAGAAATTACTATTTTCTTGTTTAAAATTTCATATAGTAATTAAATTTAATTGTATGCCTTATGATGCTGCCTACAGGAATCCAAAGTCATGGTAATTTTGATTTCTCTAACACTGGAACTCAGTGTAGTAGGTTCAGTGCCTAGAAGAAGCTAATAGCCACATCATTTAAGTCTTTTCCAAGTTCTAAGTAGCTTAGTCTTTTTGAAGCCTAAATTCTCATGCTGTAATTAAGGTCCATAAGGCACTCTATCTGAGCATCTGGCACACACCAATTGCCTGTACATTTCTAGTATAAAACCCTGTCAGGAAATTCTTCACAGCCAGTGCTTCCCTTCATTATCCAGAGCACTAGTCTGGTCTGCAACTCAGTGTCACAAGTACATGTTTCATCCAAATCTCTATACCCAGATGTGGAAGAGAACTGTACCTTTTAGGGACTCTTGGCCCTATCTTTTGAAATCAAAAGGCATCTGAGATAGCACTAATCCCTTCAACTCAGGTGCTGTATGAAGCAGATTCTTTGGTCAGTTATGGACCACTACAGCTGTCATTATCATTCTTGCATAGGGATAAGCACTAACAATGTCCCTTTGAACTGGGCACTGAAGAATAGGAGCTGAATTCACATGATCAACTCCCAAGACTGACTGCCACACAAGAAGTGTCAAGACCCAGGAACAATGCAGAAGTCTTTCACAGCCCACTTGGCTAGATACTTCTTGGAGAACCTAAGGAAAATGGTCTCAAGAAAATATACCTTGTAGGGAAGCAATGCCTCTCTGTGGTTGCCTAGATGTTGTTATAGGCCTCCAAACCTTGGATCCTGTTTCACAACAGATTTCCAATCTTCCTTCTCTTATTAAAATCAGGCTTTCCCTTGCAAGTAGAAAACTCAATTTAGCCCTGTCAAAGTGAAATTATCCCCAGTCTAGTGATCAAGGTTTTATCTTGTTTTTCATGTGTCTGGAAATGGTTTCCAGAATTAGCTACTCCATCATCTTTCCAGGAACTGAGGTGAGGTTCACAGGCTTGGAGTTCCTTAGGTCCTTCTTTTTATTTAGAAGTGACATCTTCTTTCCTCCTTGGATACTTGTCCTGATTGTCATGATTATTCAAAGATTATTGAGGGGCCTTGCAAAGAAGTCACTCTGCTACCCAATGGTCCTGCAAAGGGCCACAAAGATGGTGAAAGGACTGAAGCATCTCTTTGAAGAGGAAAGGCTGAGAGAGCAGTTACTGTTCAGTCTGGAGAAGAGAAAGCTCAGGAGGATCCCATTAATGTGTATAAATACCTGAACAGAATGTCAAAGAGGACAGGAAGCGTCTTCAGTGGTGCCCAGTGACAGGACCAGAGGTAATGGCAATGGACAGGAGGTTTCCTCAGGACATCAGGAAACACTTTTTCATGGTGAGGGTTACTGAGCACTGGCACAGGTTCTCAGGGAGGTTGTGCAGTCACCATCCTTGGAGACACTGAAAAGTGGTATGGACATGGTTGTTGACAATCAGCTCCAGGTGGCCATGAAAAGAGGGATTGGGCCAATGACCTCCAGAGGTCCATTTCAGCCTCAACCATTTTGTGATATTATAATTTTACCGAGCAGATCCTGATGAACTCAGCTTCACCTAAGTTAACTTGTTCCACACAGGCTGATTTTAGGAAAGATTCATTACCTAAAAAAGAACAGAGAAACACCAAAGGTAAGATAGGCAAAGCCTTGATTTTGTCTATTCTGTGATGACTTTGTGTCATATAATCAGTGCAGTAATAATGGATAGGAGTGGTAAGGGCCAAATAAAGGATCCAGTTAAATAAAGAAGGAGTTCCAGAAATTTAATTTGAATTTTGAATACAAAATAAAAGTGGAAATTTTCAACATTTTGCTTGCAACCTGTAATTGCTTGAATTTGGTGGAAATAAAAGCAAAGAAAAATCATCAAACGAAGAAGAAACAACAAATGGAGAAGAAAACCAGACTGATATCATCTTTGATTATCCTCTTTGAGCAGAAGTTTAGAATTCAAAAGTCTTCCTCTTCAAGGTGAAACGTGCTTCCTTCATGTTCCCATCAAGTTCCAGTGTTATAGCTGTGGCATAAGGTAGAATAAGGGTAGATCTTTTGCTTAAAATTAAACAACACACATACAAAGACTTAAAACCAAAACCCAAAAGAACATCCACACCAAAATGGACTAGCTATACTAGTAGAAAAATAACAAGGCAAGTGGAGTGATCATTCAGCTATAGCTGAAGCTAAATTCTGCATCATTTTACTGCCTATCAAGAATAATTCATGTAAGCCACATGAATTATTGGTCACTTACCTGGGCTTCAGGCTTATATCTTTCTTCTTTTTGATCTGAGGCAAGAACTTGAACATAGGCTTCATTTCTTAAGATTGCTTAGCATGATGGTTGCTGTATTTTTTTTGCCATAGCCATCCCACTGTATAATCCATTTTAGATTTGCTGGTAAACAAAAAGGGGGAATTGGAGCAAGATGCTTTACATAGCTCATCTTTATACCTAGGCCACTTAGAAGTATTCCTGTGAACATAAATATGTCTTAAGCTTTTTTTACACCATTTTGCATTAGAAATCCTCATTTCAGCATCTCAGAGTCTGTCTTTCTGGATGCCAGTCCCTGTTAGTCCTATGTCGCCACAGTAGCTCCAATTGCTTTTTGCACCAGAAAACAGTCTTGCCTTCTACTGTATGTTCAGATGCTGATCAAGAATGCATTTTCATGGACCAGCTTTGCAGTTCCAGTATTGTTTCCTTCTTCTGAAAACAAAGAAATTTATCAGCATCATACTGGTACAGTGCACTAAGCCCATCTACATGTCTACCAGCTTGCCAGTGCTCATTGACAACCTTGCACTTTTGTGTTATATGCATGCAGTTTTATGTCCTGCCCAGTCAGTTAAGTCTGTACTTGTAAGCAGAGAAATTATTAAAAAGGGCTATGACTATTTAACCCTATCAGTCCTTCTATGACAAGTCAAGAGACTAGTTCTGGAGACCCTTAGCCAAACTTAAAAATAAAAAAAATCCTCCTATTGCTTCTTATATGATGTAAGTTAATTTTAATGTTATATTCCCAGAGATCTCTGTTGACCAGATGTTAGCAAGCATGCTGTGGCTGCAGAAAGCATATCAGGAAGTCAAAGTGACCAAAATTCTTGTTTTTCTGTGAATTTACTTGCTGATATAGAAGGACCTCTTCTTCAAGGTACCGGGTTTTATATATCTGTCCATTAATAACAGCTTTTCAACAATACTGCTTTTTAAATTTTAGTTTCATCTTTTGATATTTATATTAAAGAAAAAGACTGTCAGGAGATAGACTTCAAATAATAAAATTGTTTGTCACACCTCTGAAACAATCATTGTCTGAAGCTGGTTTTCAAGCAAACACCATGTAATTAGGAGATACACCTGCTCAGGACTTGAGCCATGCCTGTTATTTTACATCCAAACTAAAAGAAAGATTTCCAGGACTTCTATTTCAAAATGTAGGTGTAATATTCCTGAAGGAAACCACAGATTTTATTCTTCTACACACAGGACAAACTAAAATATTTTTTGATGTTCAAGATACTTTTCTATTACTTTAGATGATCCATAACATCTAAATGATGCTTCTTTAAAACCAAGCATCATTTGTTTGCTCAAAGCAGCATAACAAGCATAGCAAGTGGATGAAGTAGGAACAGCCATATGCCCTCACTGTTTAACAATATTTATCTTACTGTTGACAAGTTCCACTCAGCTGACACACTGAATTCATAGGTGAGGGTTATTGCCAGCCTTTGTGGAACCAAATGCATATGTTTCCTTCAGCTGCTGATACTTACACCATTTTTAGAGACTTTTAATAGATTACTGTCCCCTTTGATCCCAGATTTTGGCTGGGAAGATAAAACATTGTTAAGCTTGTCTGACTTCTCTTAATAGCCAGGTATAGGGAATACAGACAGAGTTTCCAGGTTCTCTATTGTTTCAACAAGAATTATTCTTAATCTGTCCAATAATTTATTCTCCTAATCATTGTTTGCCTTCTTCAAAGATTCCCCAAAACTTTTCTTGGAACTACCCACCCAGGCAGGATAAGCTCAATGAAATTAACTCTAGGGTGAGAGTTGGTATTCATAAAAATAATGCAGATGTCTCATGCTCTTCAGCAATCACAATGAATATTACTGATATGATTCTCCCATGGCTCAGAGGTAAAGATGCATTGCTATCAAAGTTGTTTCCATTTGCAAGAGCAGCTAATTTTGCATAGCACAATGTGGTGGAGACAACAGTGGTGGTGGTACCAGAGCCCATGGAGCAGGCTATATTGTATACGAGCAAGAGATGGAGGTCTTTGATAAGAGATGATGCAGGGGGGTGGCTTTAATGCTCCAATTCATTTTCTGTGTGAGAGGGAGGGATGGCCTATTGAAAGTTTCATTTTAGGCCCGTTAACTAATACTGCCCCTTACTGATTCTTCAGCCATGCTCAATTAGAGAGAATCCTTTGTCCTGACACCAGTCAGGATTACTACAATTCATCAACTTTACCCTGAAGAGTGCTTTTATACCATCTAGACCTCTTAGCTCTAGCTGTGAAATGCCTAGTCACAAGGTTACCAGAAGATAATTTTCCTTGTCCCTGTAAATAGTAGGCCACTACAGGTACATATCCAAAGCTAACTAATATAGGCAATCTAAATATGTAGCAAGTGGTATATATTTGGAAATTTATTTAGAGTAGCTGTTAGCACATGTATTAAGCTGCACCAGGAGTGTAGAAATACATCAAATAGCAAGGCACGATTTTTTTAAAGACATTAACAACTTCAATGCTAGGAGTAGTTGAGCTTGTCAGATGAGAGAGCTGCTATACCCTCAAAATAGCTTTACAACATCTTGGACAAAGGCTCCAAAAAAAACCTCATTGGCTTCAGAGTCAGGAACAAGTAACCACAGACAACGCAATACATCAGTTGCTGCAGCTGAAAAAAAGCCAGGCTTTGCCAACACAGCTTGTAAACTACAGAAGGTCAAATCCCAGTGATTCAAAACATTTGCATACACTGCTATGAAAACCAAATGTTTTCCCTTTAATTCAAATGAACATGAAATTAAACTAACAATAAAAATTGAAATGAAAATTCTGGCAAGCATGTTGACATGCAGAAAAGAATAAGGTTTCTCTGCAGCATTAATTAAAGTGTGAGTCATAGTGGAGACTATCTCATTGCAATCTCATTTGTAACTAGTGGTGATGTGGTAGACTTCAGTTAGCCCAATGAGTATTGGCAAGATTTTAGCTGTCTTTCATGATTATAGTTGAGGAAACTGTTGATCACCAATTATAACCTGGTATACAAAAGGCCAGAAGTAACTCGAATAGTTCACCACTTAGTATGGCTGTTTTTTTTTTCTATTGAAAAAATATGTCAATAAAATTTTCACAGGTTGAATCAGCCCTGCTAGAGACGAGCATCTAAAAATTCCAGTTTTTAATATTCTGATTTACCTAAAAAAATTTAAATATGATATATTTTATTCTATTATGTATTTCTTTACAAAAACCTCTAATATGGTCAGAAAACCAGAAATAAAAGTACTTTCAAACTAGAGGGAATAGGTTTACCATGATATGTAGAAAATGTGTTATATTGCCTAACTAAAATCTGAGACCAAGAAAAAATGATTATAGCATTTTTATTTTCAGGAAAGGACCAAATTACATGATGGATTGGAACAATTCATCAACTCACACAGTAGTGTGTGCTTGCAGCCCAGAAATGCAACCATACCTTGGTCTGCATCAAAAGCAGTGTGACCAGTAGGTCGAAGGAAATGATTGTGTCCCCCTGCTCTCATGAGACTCCCCCTGGAAAGCTGCATCCAGCTCCGGGATCCTTAGCACAAGAGCAGGTGGCCTTTTGGAATGAATCCTGAGGAGGGCTGTGAAAATGACCAGAGGGCTGGAGCACTTCTCTGAGGAAGGCAGGCTAAGAGAGTTGGGGCTGTTCACCTTGAAAAGAAGGCTACAGGAAGACCTCATAGCACCTTCCAATACCTAAAGGGGGCTACAATAGAGCTAGAGAGGGATTTTTGGCAAGGCAATATAGTGACAGGACAAGGAACAACAATTTAATTTAGATTAAATATTAATTAGATATAGAAATTTGATACTGTGAGGGTGGTGAGGCACTGAAACAGGTTGCTCAGAGAAGCTGTGGATGCCCCATCCCTGAAAGTGTTTAAAGCCAGGCTGGACTGGGCTCTGAGCAATGAGGTTTAGTGGAAGGATTCCTTGCCTATGGCAGGGAACAAGTAGAAACAAGTTGAGATCTTAAGGTTCATTCCAACCCAAACCATTCTGTGATTCTATGAAGTAATGAGTATCAAAAAAAAGGATAAAGATTTTTTTTCTAAAATTCAAAATTGTTTTTACTGAAGTCAGTGTGGCCTTTGTATTGATTTAGATAGAAGCACAAAATGCTTCAAAGTTAGCACAGCAGTAAATATTACAAAAAATCCATAACCCTAAACCAAAGCAAACAGAAAAATAAACTAATTAAATAAGTTAAGTTCTGGACATTGTTTAAGAAATTGCAGAGTATCCATGGTTATACTGTTAAGCAAGATTTTTTTCAAAGTATTGTTTCTACCACTGCAGATGAATACAACAGCAAAGCTATTTAAGAATAAGGTGTGGCTGAATAGAAAAATGTGCACTGGTTGGAACAGTGACTTGGGGGAAGTAACATCCTGGGACATGCAGCTCCTGCTACCTGCTGTAGGCTGATTAGTATTCAATGATGAGGACAATCACAATCCCAGTTTTGTAAACTTCAATTCCACTTTTCTAGCAAGGATTCATTGGAATGTTTTCCATGTCTTTGACAAATTTTGAAATTCAGTGGACAAATAAGTGGATTTTTGCTAGATTTTGGTATACAGAAACACAGTCCTTTTAGTTCTTGGCAATGTAAAGAGAAATTATTTAAGTTACATTTTTCATCTCCATTTCAAATTTTGTCTGGCACCAGAAATATCTTTGCACAGCTTAAGCAAAAAGAAAAAAAAAAAAAGAATGCACCTCACTTTTCAAGAATTTCTGTTTTTCACTGCCAGCTCTCTCCCCTGCCACATTTTTGTCACGACTCATTCAGAGTGGCTTTCCTGTGAGCTGGAAGAATGTAAGAATTAGGTCACAGACATATAGACTCACACATGTATCTGTACAAAAGTCTCTGTATTTATGAAAAGTTTGGGACAAATCCAATCTCTGGTGTCAGTGAGTCAATTAACCTTCAAATCCTGTATTTCTTAGGCATTCAGGTGCTAGTATGTATTGCCTCCTACATACTGCATTAGTAACAAAGACAATTCTTCTCTGATACACTATATGTCTTTTCTACCTCAAAACAAACAATTTAAGATAATTAAAGAAAAAATATAGAAACTCAATTATCCTGTATGGCATACATTTTAGATGTCCTCATTTGATGTGTTTTACCTAATTTACTTTAACAACAAACCAAGATCCTAGAAAAAAAAAAAAGATTTTTGCACATAGTGCTCTGTAAACCTGAATGCCTCTAATGTACTAGATATGATTTCTGAACTGAAGAGAATTTTCTGAGTGTCATTACTGTGTCTGCCTTCTCAGCAATCATAGAGGCTCACATCTATCATTTCCTTTGTTCAGTGAGAGACAGACTTCTTGCCACGAGAAAAAAAATAAAGGGAAAGACTGGAAATATTTACTGTGATGCAATGGAAAAAAAAATAAAGATCCAGTCAAAATACTCCCTGCAATTTATATTTTAGAGAGTTACATATAAATTGGTACATATATATATATATATATATATATGTATATATATATATACACACACACACATGTTTATGAATTATACTGATGAAATTAATATTTTATATGCTTAAGGTATCCACTATTAAAATAATTTTGTAATATAATCAATTATGTGGGTTTTTATCTGTCATTTAAAAAAATCTATGTACTTTTAAAATAATAACTTGATGAAGTATGTGAGATGATAGCAAAATCCTATGTTTTCATTTACACTCATCCCTTTCTAGAGTTATTCAAATTAATCATCTTAAATGGAATGTATATTAGCTGTTTTTCAGACCCTTTTAGCTATGCTTTTAGTGTATTACTAATTTTTTTTAAATCAGATTTTCTCTGGAAGCAGCTAATTTTTTTTAAATGCCTTATCACACTGGATGTATGCAAGAGTCATCTATGTTTTTCAAAGGAGACATTCAATTAGAAAATTTGACTTAAAGATTTTTGTCCTAACTGGAAATTTTGTGATGAATGGGCATTGGGTAAAAATGTTGCATTTTATTCCAATAATGCTTCTGGGACATTTGTTTGCACTTCTTTGTTACACTTGTTGGGCAGTGATGCCATTCTCAGGTGTCACACTGCAGGGAACTGAGCTGCTCACATGCACACATGACCCCTCTCAGCCCTAAGCTGAAGCAGATAACATATATTAGTGTATGAATTTGAGAAAAAAAGGGTTTTTATCTTCCTGGAGCATCCTCAATGGGATTGAATAGCTCCCTGGGAATCCTCAGTTAAATTTTTCACTTTCCAGATACCTGTATATGCTCCTCCTTCCCACATATGCTTTACTTATTTGGCTGGGTGATGTACACTCATAAACAGAAACTACCTTTGGCCACTGGTTGCACTGAGGATGCTGCCCATCCTGGGATTTCAGATCGACTGACCTTTAATTTTTTAGTACAAGAGATGGAGATTGGTTTCACCTTCCTAAATCTCTGCAGCAAAAATGATTAGGCAAACTAAAGTACTACAATGAGTATTACTCTAGGAGTCTCTTCAGAATCATGCTAAAATAATTCTGATATATTTCAAAAAGTAAAGGAGTAACTGTTTTACAACTTGTGTAGCTGCAGCTTAAAAGATGAAGGAAGGTAAGTGTCAAATTATTTACACAAAAGTATACCAAATAATGCTAATTACATAAAGGTCTGATCTTATTAATGGACACTTGTGTCTATGCTTTAGCAAGTTTTATGAAGAACTCTATAAAACGGGGGCACATTTGCCCTGATTTTTTTCCTGAAATTTTACTGTTCCTTCAGTGTCAGTGTCAGCTGCTAAATATGCCTTTTCCTTTTTTAAATACTAAGTATCTCTAGGTAATTTTTAAAAATACAGTTCTCCTTGTCCCACAACTACCTGCTACATGGGTAGAATAACCATTGATATCCCTTGTACCAGCTGACCACATATAATTCCTAAAATTATTTTTTCTCAGGCATTATTTCAGTTAAAATCCCTGCTGTGACATGGGTGAGAAACCACAGCTTCTGGGTCTATATTGGAGCCAACTGTCTCACTTTTTTTTTTCCCTTTTTTCCGCAAACACTAATAAAATACAGGAATGAAGGGAGCTTTCCCTCCCTCATTAAAAGCATGATGTGTATAAAAATTATGAATTAAGAATTTTTTTTTACACATTCCCCCTTCTTTTCAGTTCCTCATGATCATCTCTCCTTTATTGGGAAAAAGCTAACATATCACTGAGATGAAGGGGATCAGTTCTGAGCTTCAATAAACCTATGTGCTGCTGTCTGTTCAGCCCTGTGAATCTTTAAGAGATGCACTGAGAATGAAATGAGAACATCTACCTGAAATTACCTACCTGGAGATTCAATGGCTGCAAAGAGTAGGTGAAAATCTTCATGAATACTTGCTTCAGGAAAAGGAAGTATGGTGAGCATGACTGAAAAGCAGCCCTGGCGTTTCAATGTGACTTATAGATCCATTACAATTTACAGGAACAGCCACTGGTAGCAGCAAAAATCCAGGCAGATTTAAGTAACTAGGCTGCACTAGCAACAACATTTTCAACCAAGCAAAGGAATTGTCTCACAAACTAGCCCTTGTCTTTCTGTTTTTGTTCTCTGCCCTTTTCAGAATTTGCTGCTAAGCTAGAGCCTGGCCCTTCCTTCTCTACAGCTCACCCATGACTTGAACAGTTTAGTGATGGATCACATAACCCACAATGCAGCTAAACACCGATCCTGCATCTCACACATTAGTTTTAATGGTGCTATCCACAGCATTCCATTGTCTGGTTTGGCTCAAAAGCTGAAATGAATCTGCTTTTCTGTAAAAATTAACTGGTGATGCTCAGTAATTCAGTAATTGGTATTTGATAACTGGCACTTCTAAATTCTATATGGCTTTCAACCTGAAAGCCCAGCCTTGAATGCAGTTCTTAGTAGGGCCACTTGTTTACATGGAGTTTTACATCCCATTCACTTTTGGGTGATTCTTAACACCTTAAGTGCATGAGAGACCAGCAAGAAGGACATGAAGTCAGTGTGTTTTTTGGCCCAAATAAAACAGAACTAGATGCGTATAATGCTCTTTTAGGGTGAGTACCTGGGGTGGATCTTTAAGTCTGTCTTCTGAGGCTGGACATTATGTTTTATGTGTTATTTTGTTTCTAGCACCCTGTTTGTGCATCATGATCAGGGTGCAGCACAGAGGAGATTCATCTGCTCTTCCTACTCCTCTGTTCCCCAGCTCTCAGACTTCCTCCTCTCCTCAGCCATCACGCAATGAAAATGCTCTGGCTGGGTACTTTAAATATATTATTGCTTCTGGGCTCTCTGCTGATTGGAAGGAGTTGTACAGTAAAAAGGTGCAGAGATGTTTGTGTGATAAATGGGAATATATAGACTAGGATGCTTGGCAGGGCTGAAAAAACACTGTCATGTGCATTCAAAATGGAAGGGAAGGCAGGGGAGGGAGACACGAGCTGTTAAAGTGAGTGGCAGCCACCTACAAACCTAATCCAAATAAAATCCCTCAGAGCAGGGGGACGTACCCCTCCATTTTGCACCCCCACGGAAGGATCAAAGCGAATAGCAGCGCTCGCTCCCGCTGCCTGAGCCTCTGCCTCAGAGCCCCTCCTCAGGGCCAGCAGGCCCGGGAGGCGCCCGGGTCACCTCGGCGTCCCCTCGGCCCAGCGCCGGGGGTGGGCAGGAGCAGCACGCCGCAGCCTCAAAGGCTGGAGCAGCCAATGCAGTGCTGCGAGGCCGGCACAGAGCTCCAGGAGCCGCCGAGGCTGCCCGAGGCACCGAGCCTCCCGGAGCTCTGCCGAGCGGCGCGGCTCTGCATCCCAATGCTCGCCCGGCGCTGTCGTGCGGCCCGGCCCGAGCGGGGGAAGGAGCCTGCCCGCCACGCTGCCGTGCGTCCTCTCTGGGGCTCCAGGGGAGGCACGGCCTTCAGCTGTACTTCTGCCGGATGAAAACTGAAAATATCTGTAAATGGTTAAAATGGTAGGAGAGAAACAATCATAAATATTTATCATCTATCACTACTGATTTATTTTCCTAATGCTGTTGTTACTCGTAGGACCAGATCTGCCTTGTTTTGCCTTCAGAGGCATATGTACAGCACACTAGAATTTGGAAATAATTATGTTTGTAGAAATTTAAAACATCACATAGTTAAATGGAATTACAGGTATGACCTTTGTGAACTGCTGTCAGATTTTTTTATGTTATCTCCAAAATATAACAAAATCGCACGGTATTTAGAAGGTTCTGTACTTTTCAAACACACCTTTGCAAGTAGTGCTAAGGGAATATGATGCTTTAAGAATTAATGCAACAGCTTGACCTGTTCCAGAGAACAGCCTAATTATTGTTTTTATGCTATTTCAGCGAGATAGGTATTTCTTCTTTGTTTTTTTTTTTTTTTTTTTTCCAAATGAAAGAAGTTACATTTATCACTCTTGTATATCCAGCATGATTTCATCTTAAATTACTTTGTTGGAACTCACAGAGCTTTATTTAAGAGTGAGGTGAATAGCGATAGATTTGAGGTACCTGAAATTTAAGAGAAAAACAGTGTAATATTGAAAAAAATCTGTTGTTCATCTGGTACTACTTTTTTCTTTAAAAATCTCCTTTAGTTTGCAGTCAAATGTTCTTTTCAGGAATGTTTTGATGTCATATTTTGCAGAGAAACTTTTAATCTACAATATGTATGGCAATAAGTAGGAAAAAATTGCAATTTTTCGTACAACAAGCTGCTGCCCTTCTGTTTACTATACAAGACAAGTTTTCTGAAACACAGGGGTTGTTTTTATTTTTTTAATAGTTATGTGGCTCAGATCCAGCAAGCAAACCCGTTTTACTGATGGGGTCTCTACTTATCCAGTGTTTCTGTCATCAGCCTGACCTTGCAGCTTTCTACAGTGCCATTATACCCTGGGTGCTGGCTTATTTTCATACAGCAGCCCCCAACTACTTGATCCCACTTCATCTACTTCATGGACACAGACATTTGTTGGGCTTATTAGCTCAGCAGGAGCCTTATCATATTTTGTATCTGAGGCTGTTGGAGATGTCAAGAGATGGAAATGCTGTGTAGCTTTTTATCCTCTCTTCTTGCACTTTCTCTGAGAGCCCAACAGTGCATTTGGATTCAATGCTCTCCTGCCACTAGCTGCTGAGATCTCTTTAAATATGTCTAGCTTTGCCATCTGTACCAATAACACTGCAAAGGCTTAGCCATGATTAGGCTGTCAAGATTTATTAAGTTAAAAAGTATCAAAGTTTCTTGCTGCAACCCCAGACCTTTTAAGAGTCCACCTTCTTTAGAAACCCTTCCCCCTCCTGACTAACACTACAGTCAATGTGCTTCGCTTGACCTTGACCAACATATGCACCCGGGGAACACTAATGAATTTGGGCCAATTCATCTTGGAACTCCAAATTTAATCAAGCTGACATGCCAGGGAAAGCAGACTGTAATTAACTCCTAGCATTTTAGGTAATCTGTAAATTTCATAAACTTAGATCAATCTGTTTCTGTGGTATTAAGCATTTTTTCATGGATTTGTTTAACAGACTAAAATTGTTAAAATAATACAATAATAACAATTAAAAAGAAAGTGTTGTATCATAACATTAAATCCCTTTAAAAATTACTATTAGTCCAGCAGAATAGGATGCCACCAAACAATGTATACTTAGCAGCCTGCCTAGTAAAACCAAGTGAATCCAGTGTTTTCATTTCTTTTTGAAAATGAGTCATCCACTCATTTCATGATGTGCATGTTATGAAAATATATAACCAGTGAAAATAAAATAGAAAAAATCATTTGCTCAGTGTTATCTTTCAATTAGTTTAATTTTGATGAAGAAGAGATAGGAGCATTAAAAACTAGCCCATAGGGCTCCTGTTTTGTTCTGCTTCGTTTTATTATTATTTGTATAATGGTAGCACTTAGAGGTCCTGGCCAGGATCAAGGTCCCACTGTGTGAAGTGCTGTATGAATACAAGGTTCCAGTCCTGAGGGGAAAGAAAAAAAAAAAAGAAAAAAACCTCCAGTAAAATATTGATTAAAATAAAAAAAATAAAAAGAAGAAAAGGAGAAAAAAAAAATAACCACCAACCCACCCACCACCCTAAACCAGACTTTTCTGAGACTAATACTTAAATCTCCAGGCTGAAATAGTTCCTCAGTATTTTTTAATTCTTTTCAGTCTGCACGGAGCATCAACAGCACACCTAAGCTCCAGCCTCTCCACAGTGGTCATGGTAGGTAAGAAATTTTGAGGTGGCAACAAATAAAACAGAAGAACAAAGTCAGTGCTCAAGCCATCAAATTATTATTTGTGGATTTAAAAGGAAAAAAGCCCAAATAATGAAGACTAAAACTATCACTACATTTACAGCATATCATCTCAGAAATTATAAACCTTTGATCTTTTAAATGTAGGAGTTAAGAAAAATATTAAAATCAAGACCATGCCAAAGACTGAAACATATACATACATATATACATATTGTATAGACGTATTTCCTATTTTTAAAGGGAAGCAATCAAATAACATCAGATATTGCTTCAATCAAATAAATGTTAATTATTTAAGAGCAGAGGCAGAGAAGGGCCAGAGCCATTAATTTAGGTTCCCTTCCTCAAAATGTGTTTCATAAAACACCTTTAAGATCTAATATCAACATCTAACATCTAACATTAAGATCACCTAACACCTTTAAGATCTTTCTATTGTATTTTAGTCTAAAAATTCATGAAGATTTTTGAGGCAGATAGCAGCACAAAGAACTACAGTGAAGATGAAGTTCACCTACTCCTGCTGAACTTTGCAGTCTTCCTTTTCAAAGAGAAGGATGAACAGCATTTTACTGATAACTAATGAAAATTCTTCACTGTTGCAGATTGTACATACCTAAATAAATGCTTTCACAAATAAATGTACAGGGAGTGATGAAAGGCAGCATGTGCCTTAAACTTTTCATGCTGATTATGGTCATTGTGGCTAGAAGGGAAGAATAAGGTCTGTGCTCAAACAGAACATGCAAACACACACATACACACACACATACACACACTGTGTTTACACACCTAATAATCATATATAGCAACACATATATTCTATAGGATGAGATTTTTGACTCTGTTCCAAATGTTGATGCGATTTTAGATGGACAAATCAGTCATGTAGTGTCTTTCATGAAAATTTTTCTCATACTGAAGAAACCACAGCATAATACCATATGATCACAGAAGATTCTTTACTGTCTTGTGGCCAGCATAGTCTTTCATTTCTAAATACACTGGACCAAGGAGAATAAAACCAATTCAAGGCCTTCCTTCTTCATGACACTGGAAAAGCTTGGCATAAATTGTTTCTTCTTTCTCTTGGTATATGAATATGCACATTTATGGGTCTCAATTACAAAACAAATACCTGGTTTTTGTGTAAGCTCAGAGAGCAGAGTAATGTATCTTATGTGCCCTCAGTCTATAAAAA